TGTGCTGCGGCCTCCAGGGGGATAACCCCATCTCTGCCCCTGCCAGAGGCCAGAGCCAGTCGACTTCTCCTTCAACCCGCTGGCAGACCCACGGTTCCAGTTCTGGGACCCCAGCCTGCTGGAAGCTGTCAAGCTGGGAGACCCCCATGTGCACGAGTTCTTCCGCCTGCTCTCGCTCTGCCACACCGTCATGTCCGAGGAGAAGAGCGAAGGTGGGCGTGGAGGGCAGGACCTGTCCCTGCGCGGCTCGGGCTGCAACACTGGCTCTGACCCCCGTTGCTGTCCCCAGGGGAGCTGTATTACAAGGCTCAGTCCCCGGACGAGGGAGCACTGGTCACAGCTGCCAGAAACTTCGGCTTCGTGTTCCGGTCCCGCACGCCCAAGACCATCACAGTGCATGAGCTGGGTCAAGCCATCACCTACCAGCTGCTGGCCATCCTGGACTTCAACAACATCCGCAAGCGCATGTCCGTCATCGGTGAGGCTCTGGGCACGGCACAGGGGCTGTGGGGCTGGGAGGGCTGTGGTGGGGCTGGGGCGTGGGTGCTTGGGGCGGGGTGCTGGGGAAGAGCCCCACGGAGATGGTGACATGACCCCATGATGCCTCCACAGTCATGGCTGGGGGCTGGAGCGGGACCTGCTCCTGCACCCCTGCGCCAGGCAGCTTGTCCCCTGCTCCCCACAGTCCGCAGCCCCGATGGCAAGATCCGGCTGTACTGCAAAGGCGCTGACACCATCCTGCTGGAGCGCCTGCACCCCGTCAACCAGGACCTGACCAACGTCACCACCGACCACCTCAATGTGAGTGGGGCAGGGTTCTGCAGGCAGGGCTGGGAAGGGAAGAGGTGCAGAGCCTGGCTTGCGCCCTGTCCTGGGGGGTGATCAGGGTCTGGGGACACTGTCGCGGTGCACTGCCTGTGCACCCAGCTCCGGCCGCTTGCAGGAATATGCTGGCGAGGGGCTGCGGACGCTGGTGCTGGCCTACAAAGACCTGGAGGAGAGCTACTATGAGGACTGGTCCGAGCGGCTGCACCGGGCCGGCAGTGCCTCCGAGGCCCGTGAGGATCGCCTGGCTCGGCTCTACGACGAGGTGGAGCACGATATGATGGTATGTGGGCTGGGGGCACCGGGGGGCGGGAGGTGGCTGGGGGGCAGCCCCTGCTGACCTCCCACCTGTTTGGGTCCCCCAGCTGCTCGGAGCCACGGCCATCGAGGACAAACTGCAGCAGGGGGTCCCCGAAACCATCGCCATCCTGACGCTGGCCAACATCAAGATCTGGGTGCTGACGGGAGACAAACAGGGTGAGACATTGCTGAGGTGGGGGTCTGGGCTGGCTGGAGACAAGGACATTCATGGGCTGGATCCCACCTGCCTGGGGGAGGGTAGGAGAGAGACGCTCCCCCCTGAGCTCAGCCCCTGGTTTCCTGTCCCCAGAAACGGCTGTGAACATCGGCTATTCCTGCAAGATGCTGACAGACGACATGACGGAGGTGTTTGTGGTCACGGGCCACACTGTGCTGGAGGTGCGAGAGGAGCTCAGGTGAGGGTCAGGGGGCAGGGCTGGACAGAGGACACGCGTGGGGTCGGCATGGGGCACAGCTGCGTGTGGGAGAGCCCGGGGATACAGAAGTGCCCTGAATCGGGGCCCTCTGACCCCTCTCTTACTCCTCAGGAAAGCCCGGGAGAAGATGACGGATGCGTCGCGCTCCATGGGCAACGGCTTCTCCTACCAGGAGAAACTCTCCTCCTCCAAGCTCACCTCCGTGCTGGAAGCCATCACGGGCGAATATGCCCTGGTCATCAACGGGCACAGCCTGGTAGGGACCTGGGAGCGCTGGGCCTGACAGAGCACTGTGCCCAGCTGTGGGCCATGCCCCCCACAGTCCCCCCGCCCTCCTCGCGGGCCCACGCGCTGGAGGCTGACATGGAGGTGGAGTTCCTGGAGACGGCGTGTGCCTGCAAGGCCGTCATCTGCTGCCGCGTCACGCCCTTGCAGAAAGCCCAGGTGGTGGAGCTGGTGAAGAAGTACAAGAAAGCTGTGACCCTGGCCATCGGGGACGGGGCCAACGACGTCAGCATGATCAAGAGTAAGTCCTGGGGTCTGGGGAGCCGCAGGAGGGACAGATCTCCCCTGGCACTGCCCCGGGGCCCGGGGGCGGCTCCCC